CGGCTCGTCCTCGTTTCGTTCTCTCTTTTCAGAGACGATCGGACTTTCCGACTCAATAGAAAAAATTATGCCTACACGACTGTACTCCATTTAGAGATTACGGAGATATAATGAAACCCAGTTGTTATACAAACTGTCCTCGTGGAAAGAACGGTTTTGCTAAAGTATCTAAACACTTAGATAGATATACTTAGCTAGATATACAATCTGAAAATAATTTTATTAGACAATTAAAATAATTAAGTAAGTCATTAACTAATTACTAAAATGTCAAAATTCCTTAGAATGTCATTATCATATTCGAATGCCCTACTGTAATTATTCTAATGGCGCAATAAAATCATTTTTAGATCCACATCTGGCTAAATTTGTAAATATTTCAATAAAATCATCCTTCCCCTGCTACTTTAGTTATTATGATTCAAAGATCTTTTTACTATATATTGTTACAAATTCCAATTTGTTATTAAATATGAATTTAAAGGTTAAATGATATATTAGATAATGTGTAACTTTTAGTCCCTTTGTTTCCAAATTTGACCAATTATTTGAACGCAAATTCGAACGAGAAGGTATTTGTTTCTCTTTTCAAGAATATTATTATACATAACGAATAAGCGATTCAGAAAATTATTGTGACATTTTAAAAACAGTTTAAGAATTTTCTACGTACTATTTTTATCACACAAGTATGTACCTATAATAATTTGCATTGCAAAGTTATTATACATATTAAAACTATTTTATCTTTAGTAAATTTACCTAAGATGTTTCAAAGAAGTAATTCTGCAAGCTCTTAAACTATATTTATAATAACTTTTATTACTGAACCGTAAAGACAACAAATGAAAAAGATGATACGCCATGTTAAAGTTTTTAAAAACACATTAAAATATATACTATCTATACAAGCGGATACTCTTTACAACCATCTACCAACTAAGACTATAGGAAACTAATATGTGTATTCACAAATATAAAAATGTAGTCCGCAATATATATGTATAGTATTCTTTATAAATCTTAATCCGTAACCATATAATTGCAATAAACGAAATGATTAAATAACATTTATTAAGTATGCTCTTCTTACTTTAAAAATGTATAATCGTTGTCAATAATATCTATACAGTTTTATGCTAACTGTACACAATATATCACGCGCATGGAAAATAACATGAAATAAAATAGAGAAGCGAAAGGACTGATATAATAAACCCATATAAACCATATCTATAGAGCATTGCAAATGTGTCTCATAGCGTGTAAGAAAACCGACAAGAAAACAGTTTTCACGCTCACGTCGGTAGCTTTAAAGAGGACATTTGCATACCGACTCGCGCATTGAAACGTTCAGCGTTTGTTCGATTTGCGTGATTCATGGATTCTTGTATGCGCCACCGGGAAAGTTGTAACGAGCTGACAGGGCGAATTGGCATACGGATTTATGCAAATGGATTTGCGCGGACTACGAAGGAAGTGGGGATTACCGGGCAAAGCGGACTCGCGTGAAATCGTGCATTATGGACGCCATTATTACAATAATTCATTATAATTTTTTCGAGCGCTAATAACCGCGACGTCGAGTTTATTACCTAATTACCGTCGAACAAAGTGTGGTAGCCTCATGCCGTGTTGCTTCATGCATATTGTCAAGCTTCTAGAAAATTCAAAACTACTTTCGCACTAAAATGTATTTAGAGTACTCTCATCATGGGGACAAAATGACGTAAGCTCTAATTTATTGAAGTGGAATGCAGCCGTGCAATCGATAAGCGATATAAAGCCCGGATTTTGATCCATACCGTTGATATGAGTATTTGCGGTTTGCTAAAAAACGATAATTTATTATTCTACGCAGAAATGTCGAGCATTTATCACGCGATAAAAAAAAATTATAGCTGCTATTAATTTACGGTTATTATAAAACGTAGATTACGCCACAAGATCTCATCTATAATAGCTCAAGCTACTCGATAACAATAAATCTCTTGTGTATCATGAATTTGACTCGTGAACTATGTTCGTGCAAAGATTAATTTTTTCAAAATTAATCAAAAGATTATTAATTAATGTCGAAATAAATTCGATGAAAATTCGATACAAGCGAAATTCCATTGTCTTATTATAAACCGATTCTCGCTAAAGTGAGTATGTTGCTATGACGATTAACTGAACGCGTGAAGAAAGTGCATGCTCGAAATGCACACGGTCGTTAAATCTCGCGCTTCAGCTACTGTCCGTATCTCTTTTTTTCCAATTTATATACACACATACCGCTTCTAGTTTGGACTTTAAAATGACTCAGGCCTATCGCAATTTCGGCGCAAAATAGAGATCCGCGTCAGGAGGGTATATCCGGGTAGGAGGTGTCGCCTGGTCGGGTTCTATGCCGGCGTTCGAATCACCACGCATCTCAATTCCACGCTGCAATCTATCAAGCATTGAAATCTTTTTCTACTGTACTATTGCAAGTGTCTTAAAGAAGTACTAAAAAATCTGCCTTGAAAGCCAGAAAATTATAAGAAATATGTTGTGAAAAATATCAATTTGAAAGTAAAAGATAATAGAAGCTTTTCTTAGACTTTACACGCGCATGCAGCAATTACATCACACTTGTTGTACTGCGATATCTACATTTTCTCTGTATCTAGCTGGTCGAAACAATCTCGAAATTGACCTCAGGTTTTGTTTCGAAAAATGGGAAATGTACAAAGATAATCAGAAGTGGCATCGCTATATAATTTGTGTTATTTACAATCAGAAGATGTTACTCTCGCATATCTTATGTGCGAAAGTTACACAAAATTTAGTGTTAATAAGTGTTAATACATTTTTATGTTAGAGCGAAGGTTGTAAATAAATTTGAAAGAATGTTCTCGCACGCGTTACGGAAAAATCAACCAATATAATATTAATTTTCACGTTCTGGCATCAGAGCATGCGAGGAATGCGTCCGAGAACGCGTACGCTTAATTTTATATTTGTGTTTGTACGAATAACAAATTAATTTACTTTCGCACATGAAAAACTACTCCATTGCAAGCCGCGAAAAATGTAGTTCGTAGAGAACAAGCCGAATGCGAAAACCAAAATTCGTTGAGCACTCGCCGAAGCTTTTGTGGCGAAATATACTCCGACGTAAAATACATTACGCGCGAGAATATCGTGCAGTCACAAATGCAATTTGGAAATTACTTCGGGCACGACGATAATTTAACTTACACCGTTCGTCGACGTGCCATTACCCGTATTTTCATCAAACATTTTTAGGTTGCTCACGGATTTTATTGTTAGAGCAGCTGCTTGTGATAGGAAACTATGCGTGGGAAGAAAATACGATGTGAGCGCCATGTAGACAGTGTTTTATTAGTCTCAATGGAATATCATTTTTCAAAATATGCGCTCTCAACTCAGACATTTTACTTTCTCTTCCAAAGAAAGAACAAAATTATTTTTCTACGAATATGTAAAATATAGGGAGAAAACAAGCCGGTTTTTCTCTGCAATTAACAATGTGATTTTTATGAATGGTTTTGCGCTTATCGTAAACAGTAAAGGTGCACCGTTTTAATTTACACTAATGAACCGTTCACCTACGACGCTAATAGTATCGGTTTTGATTTAGTGTCACAAGAAGCAACTTTTACTTTAATGACTAGCCAACCGTGTCGACGGTTTGGTCACCGGAAGGGTTTTTAATGCGATTTACTGCGGCGACTCATGTCCCCGACAATAAATATCGGTTATCGAGCTTTCAGCTGCGGAATATCACGCGGTGTATCGGGTGTCACAGATCGGAACATGACGTATGGCGCGCAAAATGGTGTTGTCGTACATTAAAGAATTATGATCTTAATCACGCTGTGTGCGAGTTACACACGAATACAACGCCACGATTCGTAGTGTTGAAACTGCGCTATATTTTTATTCGGTGATTATCAATATTTAAAAATTTTCATATGCAAAACACGGAGCTGTCGTACCGAGCATAGTGTAAAATTCTGACATGAAACCTGTTTTCATAATAAATCGCGTGCAATTTTGTTTTTATTTACCGAATAATTTTTAAAACTCAATATGATTCGAGTTTTATTTTCTTTAACGCTGTTTGCGAACAATAGTACGATTGCTGGATGCGTCGCGATTTTGTACAATTAGCGAACTTGTTAGATGAACTGTAAATGTATTAGACGATTTCTTCCTGGGAAATAATAGAATATCACATATGAGTCTCTCGCAAATTAAAGCGCGAAAAATTAATTAAAGTTTCTACATTCACTCTGAATTACTCCACCGTACTTTTCTCGGATGCTCGCGTAAAGTCTCCTCTTTTCCGCAAAACGTTCCGTTTTCAACACTTTTTTAAATTAACCTTATTCTCATTTGACTCCTGTTAAATGATCACGTTAAAATATTATGAAGAGCATGATTAAACGTGTTTGTTTAAAAACATGTAATACGTAACAAATAATCTTATCGACATTGCGCAAATTAAAATAATATTCATTAAGATTATTTAATAGAAATAGTTAACTATACATCTCTTATAGATCATTCTTTTAGGATTTTATATTTGACCCTACTCACGATTTTCAGCAATGTAAAAAAAATTCAAGGCATGTCGAGAAAGCTCCAATTTGAAAAAGGTGTTGGAATGTTTAGCTAGAAGAATTGTTTTCCTACTATAACGTACTATCTATGAGTCTTGAAAAAACTCTTTTTCTCAACAATGCATTTCGACAATAATTATTCCGCGAAACAAATGACGCCAATAATTCTAACATTAATTTACGTGTGCATTAATTTATTCAAAATTTGCTCCCAAATAATAACCTTGATTACCTATCAATCTATGCAGTATTCCAATTTAATATCATTATGATAATTTAATATCGTTAGGTTAATTGGTTGTTCGAACTGTCAACATTTAACGGCCACGCAAATTTCGCTATGATTAAACGCAATTTGATAGAAACTATTGACATTCATGTTTTCAGAAGTGGTATACGATTTGATGGTGGCACCAGTATCGTCGACGGACGATAACAATCTTTACATAGACGACGGCGTGGACGGATTCCCGGCATTTGGCTTTCGACCCGGATCCGAAGTGAAGCAACCCTATAGACTGTACCTCCCGGAAAAGTTGCCAGCCGAGTTCACCCTGGTGGCCACGTTCAAGCCGACCTCCTTTCGAACGAGCTACCTCTTCGCCGTTCTTAATCCCTTCGAAACCGTTGTCCAATTAGGCATTAGAATTTCGGTAAGCCACGCGTAATACCTTAGAGCTTTTTGAATCTCCAATTTTGCAATTAAGGTAGACGGTAAAAACGCATTGACGCCAAATTATCTGGCGAATTTCCGAGAGCTCCATCGAAAATGTTACATGGTTTTATTGATTATGGGCGGGTCTTGCTAAATCAGCGAGGCGTGATGCCAGGGAAAATAATAGCGTATAAGATTGAGGAGCAAATGTCTTGCGGAAATGAGAGGGCGAGCGTGAAATATGACGTCATATTAAATCATGGAGGAATCCGCTTTAACAGCTGGGTGATTACTAGCTCTTTAAACGCGCTTTATCAAAGTAGCTACGTGATATTCTTATGACACTGCACGTTTCGTGAATAGATAAATATCGTCCGAATGAAATAAGAGTAACTTTACACACACGCAGTGGGCGATGTAAATTCCTTATTTTTCTGTAATAACTCTTCCTCTTTCTCTCTTTTCTTCTTTCCACATTAATATTTGCCTTTTGTGTCATAAGTATGATCAATTTTTACAATTTCTACACGGAAAAAAATGATATGGTGCACATAACCAGAAATATTTAGTTGTAAGCAATATAGCTGCATTATCCTAGTTATCTTTATGCAATGATTATACGTATGATTGATATGACTTTGTTACTTAGTTGTATCAACTACATCAATGTAGTTGTACATGATCTGGTTGTGACAACCAGACTTTGGTTGGAGCATTATTTACTGTGGATATGATAATCTATCCACATTGTTGCGTCAATCAGGATACGATTGCAAAGGTTAAGGCAACCAGGTATCGTCACTGCTGCAACAATGTCATTTAACAATTGCTCTGTGGTTATAACAACCAGATAATTAGTTGTTCCATATTTTACTATTTAATCTGGTTGACACAACCAGAATTCTGTTTGTGACAACTATATTGTTTTTTCCGTGTAGAAATACAAACAAAGATGTACCATAATTTTTAACAACGATTTTTAATCAACTTTACCTCTTATTTCTTCGATATTATAATATTATATGTTCGAGCTAAAAGTTTTTTCTATATTGCCGTTTAAATAATATTTTCATAATATACTATGTACATGTTTTGAACAATAAGCGCGACCTGGAATATTTTAAAAGTATCTAGTAATTTCACTAAAGATCTGAAAAGTTAGAAAATATTTCCAAATATTACTATTACCCAACGCGTAAAATTACAGTGAGAACGTTGTTATGCTAAAATATACAACTTTTGAGGTTTCCTCCTCATAAGTTTCTTTCAAATGTGTTTAATATGACAGTTTTACTTCTCGCATGTTCTATGATAAATACTTATTTATTTTTATTAATTTTATAATCTTAAAGAGACGCAAGTTTATTTCTGAGCGATTACGATTAAAATGCAAAGTGCCAGAATATAGAGTTTAACTTTTCTCGATCACACCCGAAGGACGGACCCGACTCAAACCAAAATGTCTCGCTGGTCTACACGAATTCGGACGAGCATTCGCATTCGGAGGAGGTGGCGAAATTTACCGTGCCAAAGCTCACGAAGAAATGGTCGAAGATCGTCATTAAAGTTTCCACGAGCGACATCACCTTCTACCTCAATTGCCACGAGATGGCCCGGCAAAGGGTTACCAGGATCCCCCAGGAATTAGTATTCGATACCGCCAGCACGCTGTACATCGCGCAAGCCGGACCGCACATCCAGGAGCGATACGACGTGAGTACCGTGCACGCCCTTCGCCCATTGTATTTTGCGAAAAAAAAAGAACGCTGCGAGCGTTCGTGCGTGGCGCAACGAAACGAAACGAGCGGAGCTTGTTGTCACGGGAGATGTTTTCCATGGAAATCGACATGGTTGCGCTCTGCAGCTGAGTACGCGTAACGAAGTAACGTGGATAAACAGACTCGCGTGGATCGCGATGCAGTCCCTTTTAGCTTATTCTACAATTAACGCAAAACGCAAGACGCTAAGCCGCAACGCAAGAAATCGACCAATGATCGACGGTCGATCATTCTTCTCATATTTGACTGTGGTCAATTTCTCTCGTTGCGGCTTAGCGTCTTGCGCTTTGCGTCCATTGTAGAATAAGCTTCTCGGCGACTCGGCCTGGCGCAAAACAGGCAGCTCACGCGAATTCGCGAATGTCACTCGGCGATACGAACGACAGCATTAACAATAAGACAGTTTCGTTTCGCGAAGCCACGTATGTTTCCTGAACGATATCATTGTTGTCTCGTTTCGGATACGTCGACAAATCGATCACGTGTGTCCGCGACAACACGAACGCGAATTTGTTAAAAGCGTACCGGAAGACACTCGAATTTACCACCTCCTCTTTCGTATTCCGGTGACCCCGAGTTTATTCGTAGATAAATTTTATGGAGTGGATAACTCGATACTTGTCTTTCCGTATCATATCAGACTTTATCTTACAACGAGACGAGAATGATTTGTTCGGAAATTTGCATCGAAATTTTCTTTATACATATATGTGCATTACTGTTTCACGAGTTTCGTTGCGTTAAGAGGGCCAGTCATAAACTTGAAAATAAAGCGCACGGCCGTGAGATTAAGAGCGGCGAATCGTAGAAGTAAATCCGTGCCGGTCCATCCTTTAAGAATTTAATACCGTATCCAGTATCCTGTTAAAACAAGTAAAAAGGAAGCGCGAGCTAAAAGAAAGGATGGTACGAACGTGGGAAGTGCCATCGGATAACGGGCAGTAGGTTCTAGAAGAAGTGGAAGAGATACGAAATACCTCATCGAAATCCTATATATTGACGTTACAGATCTGTTGTCTCGGTTTCCGCTATTGCTCTCTCAAAGAACACTCAAGTGGATCGTGAGACGTCGGACACAATGAAAATTGAAAAATTTCCACCGCTCGCCATACGTCGAGTTTGAGAACAACAATTTGCGATCGGATGACATAAATCAAAATAGCATACTTTCTAGTATTATTTTTATTTGTTTTTTCTTGGCTACACGCTATATTTCCGCGAATATTCGTGCACCAAACAACCGTAGCTACATATATTTTTGAAACTTATCGCAAATGAAATAGTATTTTTGTCACTGTCTGCAAAACGACAGAAACGGGAATCAAACTTAAATATTTTATTTGATAAGCGAATGCGACTGCCACTGACAGTGAGCTATTCAGTGTTCCATAGTATATTATTATGATTATATATGTTGTAATAATCGTAATAATACAAAGTAGTATAAAACATTTTATATATAAAAGTAGATATGTGAAATTACTAAGTAATAATGGGCATATAAATAATACAATAAAATCCCGAAATAATAAGACCGTAATAAATTTGGGCTATAGAGTCACGCGTTAATCCGTGTAAATATCAATGCATCTGTATATCAATGAAAGAAGCATTCTTCGGGGCAATAATGCTTTGTGTGGAATTGCATTTCGTTTGAAATAATTAATATCTTTCAGCTCGGACATGAGAATAGTATTTACGTATCATCCAAGCCCTTTAGCATCTCCATATCGTATTAACAGCGAGGACAGCGTGATTACATATCGTTGATATGGTAGAGGATAATTAGTTCTCATCCTGACGCAATATGATCAGCTACACAGGGACCACGTGTTGCACAAATCGATGCGCGAAACGCATTGATTTATTCGATCCTTCATTAATTAGTTATCCTCGACAATAGGCAGACGTATTGCAATATCTCGAATCAGTTGTGCAATGTCACTTTTATCTTGCGACGGCGATTTCTCCTGCCACAATTAATTTGTGCATATTTTCACGCCAATAAAATAAAATCATATACATATTCGTGTTTCTTCTGTAGGTTTTTAGTTTACTACAAAATTACGAAACGAGATTTGTCCGTATTAATTCATACAGTTTTGACATACTTTAATGCAGACGAGCACAAAGACGTCATTTCGGACTTTACAAGTTGCTTATTAATTTCGTAAGTACTTTTAAAAGTACTTAGCTTCCAAAGTTGATAATTATCGGTCATCTTAGCGACGCGAGGAACTTGTCGTTTTATTATATTATCAATTAACCGCGCATCAAGAAAAGAAATCATAAAATATTATTTCGAATTCGTCAATTTGAATCACGTCAAACTATTGGAGGATTTCATCAATTTTCAATATCCAAGATAATAAATGTAAAATTGACTTGAAATTAAATCAATCCTTTTAATTATCTAGATAAATCTGACAAGTAGCATCGATTGATAAATAAATGATAAATTGAATGGTAGTCTCGTGGTAAGTAATTGACGCGGCAGATCACGTTATACAATTTTGAACATATGAAACTGATTATTGCTCGGATATTTTCTCTCTCTCTTTCTCTCGCTCTCTTGCTCTCTTGCTCTCTCTCTTGCAATCCAAATTATAAAAATTGGAAACGTGAACGTATATATATGTTATAAATGCAATTTGTTAAGTACGTGGATGTAATTCGGTCACATTTTACCGTCTCGCTAATGTTTTTAAAATACACGTTATGTACTGCAATTTGTATTTGAGACTTTGCGTGACGAAATTATTTTATAATAAAAATGAATACCAAATTATCAAGGTTTTATCGCGTCTGAGCATGCGAATTTCGGGCAATTTTATTGGTCAACTATG